CTTGGCTTTCCCTGGGAGCTTGATCTCTTCCTGGTGGCAGTTGCAGTGGAGGCTGAGCCTCTCCATACCAAAGCCATAGGGCAGAGGTGCCAGGCTGAGAAAATCACTGCAGTAGTTGTGGAGCAGGCAGGAAGGAGCATGGCCAAATTTGCACACCCAGCCCAGTTAGCCCCGCTGAGGTTTCCTTGAATTTCTTTTGGGCTTTCCTTGCCTGAGCCGCTGCAACGTGTTGCAAAGGTATGTGCATTTTGGGTTTGCTGGTGGCAACGGCACGGCTTCTCTGAGCACTAGGCTGAGCGAAGCAGGAACGGAGCAGATGAGCTCTCAAATCACTTCACATCAAAGACACTGTGAATTTGTGTATTTGCATCAGATGGGCTTAGAAGCAAGAACTCTGTTCAAGTGGTAAGAGTACATTAAGATTTGTGGTTCAGGAGCTTGTGCCAGACGGCTGCACTCGTCAGCCCGAGTGCTGATTACTCTTTATCTGGAGTGCTGATACATGTATTGCAAAGCTATCTTGCTAATTTATGCTTCAAGTCTAAAATGAGCAGCGAAACAATCCCTCCAAACATGGACATGCCGTTCACGAGGGATGTGTGCTGAGGCCAGCAGAGCACCAAATACGCTTTAATTACAGCTCTGGGTGACGTTACTGGCAGAGGTGTAAGACCACTGCATTTTATCTTTCGAGCTCCGTAGCCTCATCAAGAAATTAAAACATCTGTGGGTCTTTCATGCAGTCTTCCTCCCCCTGGGATGTTTTAAGTTAGCTGACTGTCAGCATGGTGATGCAGGCTGTGAAGGTTCAAAGAATTATCTTGGTGGTATCACGGCCTTTTCCATTTCGACTGCAATCCAAGGCTCATTTTTCCTCTGAGGCATTCATTGAAATTCTGTGCACAGTTTGTTCCTCTGGTTGTTTAACAATGTCTCTCATGTTTGCCCTGATTTAAAAAATCCTCCTTTGTAGCAGAGATAACATAGAGCAGGATGATATAATTGCAGTAAAGAGGCCCTGGAGCTTGCAGTAATAGGATGGTTCATCTGATGTGTACTGCCATTAGAAAATAACCCACGTATGTATGTTCTCAGGGGACAGTAAAAAGGCTTTTAAAGATTACACTTTATGTAGTATGAAAGCTAATGAGCAAAAGACCAAGTATGAAGAAAACTTGCTGCAGAAAGCACGGTGCCTTTTCCTGTTCTCGCTCATTTTCTGACACCTGTGTAGCTCCAAAACATCTATCTCTGCCCAGCAATGCACAGCCTGTTGTGCACTGCAGCCAGTTCCCGAGCCTTTTGAGAACATTCTATTATTTTCATTTCACTGAAAAATAAATAGTGTGTCAAAAGCATGGTATTGCTGAGTTCAGGATTGAAACCATGTGTGTACAAAATAAATAGTTTTGGGGGAATAGTGATCTCTGGTAGTCTGTGCCCTCAAAAAAAAAAAAAAAAGATTTGCTAGAATGATACGGTTTCACGAACACTGCTGAAAGGTTGATATGTAGAGTCTCAATTCTCCTATTTCCATTCTTTTCCTGGCCAGTGCGCAAAAACATATCAAGACATCAACACACAGTAAACACTGAAGGATCCATTTCAAACATTATGTGGCATGCGGAGTCGTAGTTGCAGACTTTGGGCTGCAAAGGTGGGAAATTCAGAGCAGCTGGTTTCTGATATTAAAAACTGAACTGTTCAAATGGATTGCCACGTAGAGCGCCAATTCCTTCCCCTTGCTTTTGTGCTAAAACAGAAGCCATCTAGCAGAATGGACTTGGGCTGCTTTGTTTTCCCATGGCATTTTTCTCTTGCTTATAGAGCTTGTTCTAGACCATGGAATGAATTCACCTTTTTGTACTCTGTACACCCTCTGCACTACTAGAGCATATTTTTGTACCTTGTCAGGTTTTTATGTTCAACGGAATGGATGAACTTGCATCTTCATATATTTAACATAGTAAAGGGTCAGACTTTGCTATCAGGTAAAGTGAAGTGGCTTCACTTGAGTTGCAGAGCCTTGAAGGGCATGCTGGATTTTGACCAAATGCTGTGCTGGGGTCTGCAGCAAGGTCTGACATCCATGATTTCATTGTATTCCAAAGGGTACTGGTCATTAAAAAAGAAGTCTGAGAATATTAGGTGAGGAAGAGATGACAGCCAGCATCTTTGCAAGGATACAAGCAGGCCAGTAACCTTCTTAAACATCTCTGTTGCCACAAGTCAAGGGAGTAAATGGTCGAGAGACCACAGTACCTCCTTTTGGGCCAAAGAAATGACTTAATTTCCCTTAACGGCAAAGAAGGTTCAGGAGAGAATGCAGTCAGATTCTTATGTTAATACATGTTTGTTCTCATCTAATCACATTGGAATTGTGTAGAGTGCACGTGAAATACTTTTTCTCCTTGTATTGAGGCCTCTCTGTGTGGTCAGAGCGTTGTAAAGGGCTCGCAGAGGGAGTAGGAAAGAGGTCTTCTCCTGACTCTCGGGGTCTAAGCACGACTCTGCATGCTGGGACAGGGGCGAGGGGTGCACATACCCTATGGGCAGGAGAAATTGCTAAAGTCCTTGAAGAGTATTAAGATTGTTAAAATAATAACCCATGACCTAGTGGACCTCAGCTCTTAACCCGTCCCCTTTTTGTATTCCTGCACCTAAAAAGTGGAGTGGTTGTGCCATGTACTACGCAGAGTTTGCTAATACGGAGGAGATTTTCATGGCAGAGGTACGTGTTATTGTAATATCCCCATGAGATGACGCCTACATGTTGAGTGTAAGAGTAGATACTTAGTCGTTTCCATAACTTTTTGTTTCCGTTTGAGAATCATGTCTGTATGGGGCAATAAATTCATCGTATTTGGAGAATGTGGAACACAGAGCTGATGTGAAGAGACAGCTGTATGTTCAAACACACAGCAGAGTATCAGCAGTAGTCTGACTAAAGTAATGGTAATGCAATTATATTTAGTAGAGGTAACAGAAAAGCTTCTCTCTACTTGACCCCAGTGGTGTCTGTCTCTGCAAAGCAGCAGTCCACCAGCCTGTGCCAGTGCATCACGGTCCAACTTTGGGAGCCCAGATAAGATGTTTGATTGCCTTCCCCAACTCAGTGTCATTTGATCCCTGGTCCACCCATCAAACTGTCATTCCTTAAAACATCTGGGACTTACTTTGATAACCGCAAGTGACGTGAGATGAATTATCTCTTGCTGCTTCTGCTGTCAGTTGACTCCTCTCTGCTTAAACTTCCAGTCTTGCAAATACCAGAATAGTAGTGCTAATTTTTTTATTTGTGTCCTTTCTTCCCCTCCCCCCCATAATTGGTAGACAGGAGTAGAAGAGGACTTGCAATTTTATTATTGCTGTATAAGCCTTTTGTAAACTCTGTTACAGCACTTCTGATGTCGATAATTTTAGTGACTAAAAAATATGCTGACACTGTTTTTGTGCATAGGAAAAGAGCAAATTTGAATGTATAATAATCTGGTGCATTTGGGAGATGTTTTAGGCTATATCCCAGCCAAGTTAATCACTCATGGAATTATTTTTTTTTTTTCTCCTTTGACTCGAGACATTAATCTCGTATCTGTGGAAAGGCATCTTTAATGTCAAAAAATTGATCACAGGTACCTGACATTTCTCTGGCATCAGAAAAGATTTTGAAGGAAAGCTATCAGTTGACAATAGACTGGCAGAAACAGACATATTGGTTACTTTATTTTTCTTACATAATGAAGAAATATCCAGGTGATGATTTCCAATTCGTGAAGTATATTGAACCACTTACTATATTCATGAATATAAATTGAGCAGACATTACATACATTTTTCATATAAAAATAACACAGCATTGCTCCTTCTGATAATTAGTCTTTGCCCGGAATATGCTTATTCTGAGAACATCACTATAGAGTTAATAGTGCACTGCATAACTGCACGTTAAAAAATACGAGTGCTAAAGGAGAGGGAATGTCTTAAGGAGAAATTATTCATAGATTTATAATGACTGTGGCTGGCTGCATTTTTCAAGGACAGGATCTTTCTGCATTTTCCTTTCCCAGATTTTCTGCAAAAACCTTCATCTCTAAATAGTAGCATCACCCAGCCAGCCTATTTCCATCCAGCAAGGCTCGCTCGCGGGCTGGACCGTGTTGCTGCCAAGCAGCACACTGCTCGCACTCCGCTTCCCATCCACACTTCTGCCTCATGAGCAGCTTTGCCCTCCAGATCATCCAGACTTTGCCCACTTCTCAATTAGTCCTAGAGGAGCCATCCCAGCAGAAAACCTGCAATGTTGTGGTGACTTTGAACACAGAGCCAATCTCAGGTTGAAACAGAAGCATCAACTTCTCATCCCTGTGCAGCCACTTGGGTGTTCCCACCGAGCAGACCAGACGCTCCCTAATCTATGATTTTCCTCTTTTGCCAAACATGAAACTAGTAGGGTGGAATATGACCCTTAATATTCTCTAATTGTATAAAAAGCGTTGCAAGTAGGAGCCGGTGTGTATACAGATGTTCTTGATTAAATAAAGCCTTCTCCGCTTACATCGTGCTAAAGAGCTGCGTCACAAGAAAGGTAAGAGGGTAAGATAAGAAATGTGACCTGAAAGAAAACCACCCGATTAGACTGTGAAGGCCAAATACTGATGTCCTTGAAGCCGGTGGGAGTTTTGCCCCGAGGAAGCAAGCAGAAGCCAGTAGCACCCTGCGTCTGCTCAGGGCTTTACAGTCCCGCGCTGAAGTCAGGTGACTTCATCCCTCAAGGTGGTCTCTGCCGCAGGGCTGAAGAGCACGAAGAAAGTGTGCTGCCCACTCATGTCAGCCTGCCAGGGCTGTCAGCTCACGGTGTTTGTTTATTCCCCTTCAATTTTAACTTCCAGTAATGCTTCTTTAGAAATAGAGCAACTTTCTGACGAAGGTGGGGAGAAATGATGGGATCATTTTGCCCCTGCAAGCGACAGGGTTATTTGAAGAGATCTTTCTTCTTCCAGGTTACCAGCCTGTCCTGCCGAACCAGCAGCAGGGGTTCCAGGGTCTCATGGGAATGCAGCAGCCGCCCCAAAGCCAGAACCTGATGAATAATCAACAGGGAAATCAGGTGCAAGGCATGATGGTGCAGTATCCAGCCATGTCGTCTTATCAGGTACTTGGGAGCTGTGGAGAAAGACTGCTTTTCTCAGAGAGTGCTTAGTTGCGTTAAGTTTTTTGTATCATGGAATAGTCTTTATTACTTCGTTAGGACACTGTGTGGCAGGAGGCCTCCTGATAAATAGGCTTCTAAGTCAAATTGGTTTCTTTGCTTCCTGTTTACGTATTCTTAGTACTCCCAATTTTCATTCTGAATTGGGAATACTTCAAATGAACTATTTATTACAGCCTGCAGTGCGGATAAAATGTGACAAAGGATGAAGGAATTATACTTCTTCCTGTGAAGAAAATTAATTTATAAAAATAAAATACAGAACATTATTGTTCATTTTTGGGTTTTTTTTTGACAGTGCAGTATTGCTTCCTGTAATGAAGTTGAGGGCTTTGCCTGATCCAGTTAAAAATTATTCATTTGTGGAGACTCCTGCCAAAGATTTTACCATGTCTTCTATAGCAAACTATAGTCAGATAGACTGGTGTTTATTGGGTTTTGGGGAGAGGGAAGGCAGTGGCTTGATTTTTACCAAGTCCGTAGCCAGACTTTTTTCCCCACCTTTATACCTGGTTCCTGTGAGATATGCCAAGACTCTGTGAGAGGTGGCCTGTCCTTACATTTCCTGCTGGTCCCTCTGGAAAGTTAAGAAAATAAATGACATCTAATTCATTTTAATAGATTGCACTGATTGAACAGCCATTCACCTTCTCCCTCGGCTTCTCTGAAAACACTACAGCAACCCAGGTGGAAATGTGGGAATTGCTTGAGGGTAAAATTTTCCCCTTACATCTTCAGAATAACTATATTGGAAATGTATTTTAAAGGTTAATGATCAACTTAAAGGTTTAGATCTTTTAGATGGCTTAGATATACCAGGGTTGAGTCTTCTGTTTGCACTGATCCCATAAATTCGTATTCAGCTAGGTCCTGACAGAGCCACTTACTAGACCTGGGAGCAGAGGGATTTCACTTTAACCCTTCTCTCACAAAGAAAACCTTCAGGGATGAGAACAGTTCGGAGCAGCAGAAAACGACACGTTTTGGCAGAACAAGTTGTACACGTGAATTCAGCTAGAAGGAAGATAGGGATACTCAGGACCTACTTCAATTTGTTCAGTAATTACTTTTTGGTTTTTTTCCTATGTCTTTCCATATTCCTACCTAGGTGCCAATGACCCAGGGTTCTCAAGGATTGCCACAACAATCATATCAACAACCAATCATGCTACCTAATCAATCAGGTCAAGGAACACTTACAGCCACTGGAATGCCTGTCTACTGTAATGTCATACCTCCTGCCCCACAGAACAACCTACGGTTGATTGCCCCACACTGCCCCTCCAATAACGTTCCAGTTATTTCTGCCAGCTGCAGGACAAACTGTGCAAGCATTAACAATGCAGGGTGGCAGGTCAAGTACTGACACTGTGGCTTAGTGTGGATATACGAGGATAGCGGTGCATTATTTGACAAATAACTCATGGCCTTCAAATGAAGAGGAACACAATAGGATAATCAGTTGAGGACATAAGTACTGACTACGCTCAAGTGATTTGCTGCTGGAAAAATCTGTAAAAAATAAAATAAATTTTGGAAAAAAAATGTTTGCTGGTTAATGGTGCATATTTTTGTCATGTCTGCTAGGTATGCCTTTATAGCTTAGCTAGTGACATGAATTCATTGAGGTAAGATTTTTTCCTACCACTGAACACCACTGTGTAGATTGTAATATCCCCAATTCGGATTAGTTTTGTACTTTGTGTTGAGTTTGTGAAGCTAAAAGTATTTAAAAATATAATAAAATCACATTGTACCAAAGCTGTAATGGAAATGAAAAAAAAAAATTACTGAATGGAAGGAATAATTTATATACATTATAGAGTTTTTTTATGGATATATACTGTATTGTAGTGCTTAATCACAATAAAGCTATTTGACCTCATGGAGAAAGGTCATGTTTCTACCACCTGCTTGGTTTCCTCTCTGTTTCTGAGTGAGTGAATTTCCCTTTGCTTCTGCACTGTCTTGTTTCAGCTGAAGCTAAGGGGGGAGTGGTGCTTACGGGGTTTATGGGAGCTTGATGAAAAGGCAACATACCTGTGTCTTACCATGCGGTACCATAACAACTAAGACCACTTAGAAATAGTAGCATAGATACCCACAAAGTGTTCAATAATGATATACCAGATCATCTTAAACTAAGTTTGTGCTTCTCCAATGCTAGGACAAGTAACGTCACAAATACAATTTGCCTCAATCTACTAATTTATACCTGTTCTAGAGGCCAACCAACAGCTGAATATGACAAGAAACAGATGTCCCATGGTATCCCATCCACTGGCTGGAAGATCTGTTGCTACTGAGATAGCAACCACATTACCTAGCAGTTATTCTGCTCTGTAGAGATACTCTACCCGATCACTGCTACTCCAGCTATAAAGCCATTTTGCGAAAAAAAAGATGACAACCCAAGAATCTCATCCATCATGTTCAAGTAGTGGGGATGAACAATGTATTTGGGGTTTTGTCTCTTAAACATGCAGCACAGTGGTTTGCCAGAATTTTTTAGAACCTTTTTTTGAATGCCTGTGGTGCTTCTCATTATTATATCCCTGTTCAGTCAAATTCCCAGCTTGTTCTGATAAATTATTCTTCATTCATAAATGCTGCATGGCGTTCCTCATTCTGCTTCAGTGATGACAACACTCAAGTAGAAAATAATGTTTACCAGACAAAAGCCTGTGTTGTTTTTCACTTAAGCTGCATTTTTGATCAGTTTTGAACACCTTTTAAAATAGGTAGGAGTTGAGCCCCCAGAATTATTCATATGCATCATGAAAAAGCCTGAGATCCTTCTGTGCATAAAATCTGCATCTGTCATAATACGATTTAGGTACACTCAAGATGACAGTAGCCTACAATGCCCTTCACCATTGTTAATCTGTGAAACAGCTTTTATTTTCCATTTTAAGAGGAGTAGCATTTCCTTCGCACACTTCAGCTATGGAAGCAGGAACTGGAAGGGCTACAACCTATATTAAAAACAAGTATTTTTGTCTTCTATACAATAAATAGGTATCTTTCAGAGTTCAGGGTTTTTTTACATATATGTCTTAAAGTGGAATTTCTACTGAATCCAGTCCTATGGGATCATAAGAAAGCCAAACACTGAATTTTCTGTGGTGTAATCAGCATTCATTTGCCGAGAGACAGTCAAGAACATAAGCAGGTAAGCAAACACAATTCACTCCAGTTAGAGGCAAAATGCCTTGGGAGAACATACTGATTGATTTTTTTTTTTCCTTTTTTAAATCAAGATACTGTATTTTAAGTTTGCCTGTGACCCTGAGCTCTCATTTCAAATGCCCTGCACTGTATGGCTTATTTCCTTCTATGTTTTATATGCTATGAAGGTTTCTCTCCACCTTACTATAATTACACATATTTGTGTTTGCTGCTGCTGAATGACTGACGGCTGAATGAATGGCTGTCCTCCATCAAGGCTCCAGAGTCCAGCAGGAAGGACCCACGGGTGACTTCACCCAGGACAGGTTGTGTGTAGCCAGTCTGAACGAGAGGGGAGGGAGGGTGAACCCCTGTCCTCGTGGTGTCTGCCGTGAAGAGACCTTTTGGTAATCGCTGTATTTAAGTCCTGTTTCTTCTCTTCTCTGAAGCACTACTGTTACCTTATTGATCTTCCTTCTTGCCTGGTAAAAGAATCCACCCTCAGCATCATAAATCGATGGCAAACTGGGATGTGGATGCTCTCAGCAGCGATCGGGAAGGGAGTCAAAAGCCTAGAAATCGTGCTTCTGTAAAGATAGAATTTCCCTGTGTCCTTGTGTCACACTCTGTCACATCCCCTTGGTAAACAGCATATCCCATGATTGACCATGGTCATGAATTCCCATGATTTACCTGTCTCTGCCCATTCACCAACCAGCTTGTGTAAAACATGCGAAGAGCTGTGGGACCCGGGATCCCGCTGACTCTCAGCCTTGTGGGAGCAGCACCTACCTGCACATTCGTTCCTGCTGAAATGAGCCTTCAACTTTTTATGTAAAATTGAGTAGTGTCAGGAGGAGGTCACAGCTGCCCACCCCAAAATGGCCTATATCCTCTGATTGTCTCACTCTCCAAAGAGTTTGAATCTCCTTAGGCATAAGAGGAAACTGAATTTGATCTCCCTCAGCTATGGAGAATGCCCTAATTATTAAGGTATCATATACATAGGGGAGACATCTCACGTGGCGGTGCACATACTTGCTTTACTCTGGAAGAATTTACATTTTAAGACAATAAAGTAACTCTGTTTCTATATCAAGTTAAGCACACACTTAAGCTCTAATTTTATTTTTTATTGTACAATTTTTTGAAGTCTTGATCCTAATCTTTTTGTTCATTAATAAAAATATTCTGAGCTGGATTGCTTAGCAGCCTTCTGCTATTAAACTAGAGATGTTCCAGTATTAAGGCATTGTCAGAAGGTTAGGAGGAAAAAGAAGTGACCCACAAATAAACATAACCAAAATGCATAGGTGAAGCTCAGGGCTTTTTTCTCAGTCCTTTAAAATATTTTTGTAGGCACCCTCCATAAGAGGTGTGCTATTGGACTCACCTGGCCCAGCTCAGTTCAAGCAACTCAGCAATTGCTTGCCTTGAATTCAGAGTCCAGCTCATAGTAGTGAAGGGATTTACAGGACATGCTCCTCTCCTGTGGGGTTGCTCTGTCACAGTGGGCTTGTTTTTCTCTAGTCTTCCCTTGGAATTTGGCCGGCTTGGGCAGCTACTCTGTGGCAATGCAGTTGTGGTGCTAAAGGGCTGTTCCCTTTTCCTGCTGCATATATTTGCTTTGGTAGTTGTGTTTTGTTTTCTCCTTCTTTTTTATATTCTGAAGTTGATGGGAAGTTCTCCCAAGGTCCCGTACATATTTAATTTCCCACTGTTTTTTTAATTTATATCGCACTGAGAAACTAAAGAGGCATATCCTGAATTAAGCTGACTGCATCAGATTACACTGGTCAGCCTTTTGGGTGTGTCTAATTAATTTGGGCTGTAATTTGCAGAGGCTGCACATCCTAACAGACGCCAGATGCCATTTCCTATTGTTTTGCCCTATTGTGCTGCCCGAGAAGTCAATGATTTCCTTCGAAAACTGTATTCCCTTATGTTTCTGTTTAACTCCGCGTGAACAGCTTCCTGCGCTGAAGCAGGAAGAAATGGAAATGCGCAGGGAGGCCGTAGTGCGCCCAGAGCATCTTGCTCGGTAGCATGGCAACCCGCCCTGGTGCGGCCATGGAGAGCTTCCATGCGATCCTTTCACCCGAAAGCAATGCAAAACGGGCACTGGTCAGCGTCCCTTCAGCCCTCCCGTTCACAAGGCTGTTGAGCCTTGTGCGTTGCCCCTTTGGGCTAACTGCTGAGAAACCAGTTTCCGCCCTGAACACCCAGTGGAGAGGCTCTGGTGGAGGGCGATGCCCACTCAGGGCTGGGAGCTTTGACTTGCTGTCTCCCAGGGCTCCTCTCTTGACTGGCAAGGAAGAGGGAGACCAGTTTCCTTCGTCTTCAGGACTATGCCACTCATGCTGCCCCCAGAGACTATGCTTTAGAAATGCTCACAGCTTCAACACTTGCTTAGCTCATGTTGTCTAAAACCACATTTCTGGTAGGACATCACCATCTAGTCTTGGGCAGTGACCAGCTTAGGGAAAACACTGAGCCAAGCTCTGACTGGTGCTTCAACAGCAATCCTACGAGTCTCAAGCGCTACTCAAAGCTGCATGGCAGGCAGTAGAAATGCCTTGAGTATTTTGGAGGGGAAGAAGCCTCGCTGTGTGCACGCCTGCACCTACCATAATGTGGGTGATACAGCAGTTTAGGGGATGCCTGCTCCCAAAACAGGGCAAAAGATCCCCGTTTCTAATTTAATTTCTACCCCTGGTTTACTGTAAGAATTGACACCCTTCCCTGATGGTTCCTTTCATTCTTCAGAAAAATGGATATAATGAGACTTCGAGGCAGTGAACTGATGGTTAAATAATTAATGCCACACAGAGTTTCTGAGGATGGTGTGCCCAGCATTCAGTGAGTGGCATGAACTATTGCCATACTGCTACGCGTTTTGCAGAGTTCAGCTTTGGGTGGCATACTGCTAAAAATACTGCTTGCCAGTGCATGTCAGAGGCGGAAACCAAACCCCACTCTTCTGGCTCTTTTTACAATATCCCACCAACTGTAGAAGGTGATGACTCCTCGTTACCTCTCCTGATAAAAGGACAAGGGGACATAAGAAAAAAAAATTACTTATTAAAACAGCAGCCTCCAATCAAAGAAAAGAGGAGAAGAGCTCTTTTTTTTCCCCCCATAGAGTATACAGACAACCTGTGGCATTCCTTGCTGCAGGCCATTAGATGTCATTTCAAAAATGGGTGGAGAAGGTCAGAGAAGAAAGTTGTACTGAAGGTTGTTAAATACAACAGCCAGTGCTCAGAGCCACTGCTCATAGAGGCAGAGAACAGCCTAAAGACATGTTGCCATATCATTGCCTCATTCTTAAACCTTTCCCCAGACACTACTAGAGATGAGTATTGGACTGGGGAAGAACCTCTGACCTGACCGAATATGCCAATTCCATAAAGTAATATTTATTACCCAATACTGAATAAGCAAAAAAAAAAAAAAAAAAAAAGAAAGAAAAAATTGGTATCACCTGACAGAGTCCATGCTGTAACAAAACCTATAAGGATCAGAAGGAGAAGGTGAGTCTAACCTTGGGTTGATTTTCTTCAGTTTGTTTAGTGTCAAATGCCCTTGACTGCATGAGTAACTATGACTGGCCTTACACAGCTGCTTGTTTTACTGTTCGGAGTAGGACGTAATACCACGTTGAGGATGAAATAAACCTTCCAGTGGGAAGTGCCTCATGATCTTTTCATCATCTTTCATTTCTTCTTTGTAGCATAT